CACACACACACACACACACACACACACACACACACACACACTACACACACACACACACACACACACACACACACACACACACACACACACACACACACACACACACACACACACACACACACACACACACAAGTGAAGTGTTGAATATATCTCGTACGTAGACAGTAGGACGTAACAGTTGTATAAACGATGACAATTACAGTTTTATTACAAACACGGATAAAGGCAGTGTACAAGTACCGGTCAGAGGTTGCCGTCGTCTCTCCCGTTTCTACCAAACCCCGTCCTTTTTAAGCCGCCCGCATCCCCGTCGCGACCTGTTTAGACTTAAACTAATTCATGACGCGGGTAGTGGATATAATGACTGGTCGCGACTAATGTCCGATGGTACCACGTAGGAGCGCCGACCACCGTTGACGTTGCCTGCCTAATGATGGCCGTTTGATAAACCGCGTCGCATTTCTGTTGAAGTTAATGTGTTCGTACCATTCTGAAATGCATTCCGTTCACGCTGAATTATGTGTGCTCTTAAATATGTAGCTAATGTCTTCTGGGTCCATCGCCGGCTGTACCTGAACCGTATTTGCATGAGTAATGTGCCAAATTCCCCATGTCTCCATCTCAAATCTAAAACGCCATACTACATTTCACCCTGCCATAAGAAAAGTCGATGAAATCGGCTTAGCCCAGTCTCCCGACTGGAAGAAAACCCTCGATGAATTTTTGAGCGGATGGCTTATGTGAGCCACGGACAATGTGAAGGGCTGTACTATCATCGTGATATGTCTGATTGTAACTGTAACCGCTTAAGTATATAATCGTACCATACTGATAACATAACCGCAACCGCACAATAGCATAACTATAGTCAACTCGAAACCGTGCAACCATAACATTATATCACATCGTCAAAACCCGTATCTCCGCAAAAACTCGCGTGCAACCTCATCGTCCTAAAATACTGCTAATCACTATAGTAATACTAAGAACATAGTATCCGCGTACAATCGTGGAAAACATATCGTGTCCCCTCGCAAGGACACCACGTCGAACCGTCACCAATCGCCTACCAAAAACTCGTACAATAGCTAAACAATCGCGTATAAAAGTCAAACAAGGCGTATAATAATTGGAAAGAAATCGCGTACAAGATTTTTTTTTTTATTGCGGAGAATACGTAACAATTGCGTATAAAAGTGAAAAATCGCGTACAAAAGTTATAATTCGCGTATAAAAGTGATAATTCGTGTACAAACGTTATAAACCGCATACAAAAGTTATAATTTGCGTATAAAAGTGATAATTCGTGTACAAAGATTATAAATCTCGTACAAAAGTTATAGTTTGCGTATAAAAGAACGTGAAAACGTGAAAAAAAAGGAAAAAAACAATTGATAGAGAATGAATATATGACCATCATTTGCATGGGAGAAATACCCGTTAGTTTGAGAGAGTAGAAGTTTGTCCAGCTTAATGCTTACTTAAACCACGATAACCAGTAACCAACGAACCCACTTAGCAACCATCCAAGTAGGCCCCCTCCAAACCGACGTGGTCTGCGCGGACCTAGGCGAAAGGGTCCCCGTGGAGTGGCAGCCGTGGAGTCGGCCGTGGCAACGGGGCCAACTCCGTCAGACTATACTGTAGCATCTGTTGGTGCAATTCCTCCAGATGCTGCACGTCTTCCGGGTCATTGTACTCATCGTCCGGATCATATGCCCGTAACCAGATATAATACCTCTCTATCAAAAAGCCCTGCTTGTCTTGAAATGAAAAATACCCGTTTGCTCACGTCAGAGAAATTATTGCCTGGTATATATAGTATTATCTATAGGCATAGACATAAGCTATAATAGGCTAGTAGACATGCTAAGTGTTTTTTTTTACTTCAAATCATGCTACAAATGTCCTCTTTGGCATAGAAGTTCTTTAGAACCCTAGGAAAAATATATCCAAAGACACACGTTCTATCTCAAAATCCAAGATGGCCACCGGCGGCCATTTTGAAAAACTTGGTCGACTCACAACTCATGAACCGTTTGTCATAGAAACTATTGTGACACATGTTGTTGTTTTTAGCTAGTTTGAAGTCACTGAATTCATTTTTGGCATTAATTTTGCATTTGGAATACATTTAGAGGTAAAATTCAAGAAATAATACACAAAGTTGATGTTTTGATAAAATATACCACACCAGAATTTGTCCGGGGACTGTATTGACAATGTAAGCACATCCGAACACATTCCTTCATTCAGCTGGGCCCTCATCCTTCTGTACCTCCCTCATCATATGGGTATGGGAACAAGAACCCTGGCATCTACAGAGAAACATGCAGGGCTGCCTGTGCACACAGCACGGCACTGGCACTGGCAAGTGACAAGATGTGGCATGTCTGAAATGGTAGGAATTGTGATGTAGACTGGAGTTGGCACTGAGTCAGGCGATTCTTGCTGCCACCCCCATTCAGTTGGAGAGACATGCCACACCATTATTGGGCTGTTAGGAAATTCCGTGAACAGAGGCAGCATGTATGACTTGGCTGGGGGAGTAACTGGTGGTTCTGTAATGCTGGCATAGTATGCAGCCCATGAGATCCATTCACCAGCTTTAATGTTCTGTTTGGGTAGAAGGCTTATGACTCGCTCCAGCCACACGTAGCCTTCTTCAATGATACTGGTGACAGAGCGTGAAGCTGGACAAAGATGACTGTTGGTCCTCAGAACAGGAACGTGCAACACTTCATCATTTGGCAGTGAGGCATCCAGATCCATGGACGTGTAGCTAGCTGGCAAAGACCTTACAACTTTTTTCCCCATCTCAGTTAAAATAAGGATGTCTGTAAAATTTTTAACTTCTTGTGTGTCTGAAGAGAAGTGCTGGTGAATGCTGATGCATGTTCCATGGAGAGCTGATTTTGCTGTTGTAGAGGATGGGTTGTAGTCAATATTGTCAAAGCCACCTGTAGTGAAGACATGCTTGACAGCCTGAGGAGGCACTACCACACCAACCTGCTCCCAGTGACCAATGACTGAATTTGCAATGTCTGTACTCAGTACTCTCAAACGGTCATAGGCGATGCACAGTCCTCTTTGATGTATAACATCAATTAGAGATTCACGGCCAGATTGAAGATGTACTTTCATAGCCATATAAAGCGAAGCTGGTGTTTCCCTCCCCCTGATGTGACGTGGAACACTCCCAGGTTTCTTCGATCTGCATCCAACAGAGTTGAATATGATCTGCTGCCCTATGGATGTTGCAACTTTGGAATTCTCTGATTCAGGAGGTGGCTGATCAATACACGGTCCATCAAGAAGCATGTGTAGGAATGTTCGCAATGTAGGTGGAATTGATTCAGCTTCACATGCGTTTGGAAAGGAGCCTGTGAAAACCTGCCTTATGTGGAGATAGTCACGACGGAGGATCTTGGCTGCTTTGTGGAGGATGGAGACCTCAGTTGATGTACTGTCTTTCATATCCACAGCTTTGCTTAGATCATCTTCAAAAACAAGAGACCAGCAACGATTCATTTTTACTGGCTTGATGGCAGGGATTATGCGCTCAATCTCTTCTCTATGGCGTGTTGTGTTGCATTTGATGTGGGGAAAACCGAGAACCGCAAGGCGCTTGTCATAGAGGGCTGTTATGATGATGTGTTATTATGATGATTATAGCAGCTAATGATGTGTAATCAAGTGGTGTGGCATAAAAGTTGCAGGAATGCTGTTAACATCCAAGAAGCGCAGAGGGCAAAAAAGAAACATCAATACCAAGAGTCAGTCAGCCCTGTAAAAACTCGCCGCATGAACAGTGGTGCCATGTCCATCACACAGGCCTTTCCCTCAGCCTCTGCATCTTTTAGTAAACCAGTTGACACTCCATGTCTCTTCTGTGATGAAATGGGCAACAGGAAAGATATGAGGAAGGCTGCCACTCTTGGCTTGGACAAGAGAGTCAATGATTGTGCTAGACTGTTAGGTGACAAACGTTTGTTGGCAAAACTTTTCACTGGTGATATGATCGCCATTAATGCTGTCTACCATTGTGCATACCTAACACGGCTATACAGAAAAGTGGAGACAGTCGGTTGTGACATAACTGAGAGTCATAAAATCAAGTGATGCGAGCACATGTTCTCAATAAGTTAGTTGACTTTATTAAAGATAATCGTAGTACAGGCACCTCAATAGCAATGGCTGCCATAACAGCCCTCTATGACAAGCGGTTTGCGGTTCTCGGTTTTCCCACAGCAAATGCAACACAACACGCCTTAGAGAAGATATTGAGCGCATGATCCCTGACATCAAGCTAGTAAAAAAAATTTACTAGCTTGATGTCAGGGATCAAAGCTTTCCTTAGATCATCTTCAAAAACAAGAGACCAGCAACGACTCATTTTTACTAAAAATGAGTCGTTGCTGGTCTCTTGTTTTTGAAGATGATCTAAGGAAAGCTTTGAATACGAAAGACAGTACATCAACTGAGGTCACCATCCGCCACAAAGCAGCCAAGATCCTCCGTCGTGACTATATCCACATAAGTCAGGTTTTCACAGGCTCCTTTCTAAACGCATTTAAAGCTGAATCCATCCTACCTACATTGCGAACATTCCTACACATGCTTCTTGATGGACCGAGTATTGATCAGCTACTTCCTGAATCAGAGAAGTCCAAAGTTGCAACATCCATAGGACAGCAGATCATATTCAACTCTGTTGGATGCAGATCGAAGAAACCTGGGAGTGTTTCACGCCACATCAGGGAGAGGGAAACACCAGCTTCGCTTTATATGGCTATGAAAGTACATCTTCAATCTGGCCGTGAATCTCTAATTGATGTTATGCATCAAAGAGGACTGCATCTCTTATGACCGTTTTAGAGTACTGAGTACAGCCATTGCAAATTCAGTCATTGGTCACTGGGAGCAGGTTGGTGTGGTAGTGCCTCCTCAGGCTGTCAAGCATGTCTTCACTACAGGTGGCTTTGACAATATTGACTACAACCCATCCTCTACAACAGCAAAATCAGCTCTCCATGGAACATGCATCAGCATTCACCAGCACTTCTCTTCAGACAAACAAAAAGTTGAAAATTGTACAGACATCCTTATTCTAACTGAGATGGGGAAAAAAGTTTTGAGTTCTTTGCCAGCTAGCTACACGACCATGGATCTCGATGTCTCACTGCCAAATGATGAAGTGTTGCATGTTCCTGCCCTGAGGACCAACAGTCATCCTTGTCCAGCTTCACGCTCTGTAACCAGTATCATTGAAGAAGGCTATGTGTGGCTGGAGCGAGTCAGAAGCCTTCTACCCAAACAGAAACTTGAAGCTGGTGAATGGATCTCATGAGCTGCATACTATGCCAGCATCACAAAACCACCAGTTACTCCCCTAGCCAAGTCATAGATGCTGCCTCTGTTCACTGAATCTCCTAACAGCCCAATAATGGTGTGGCATGTCCCTCCAACTGAATAGGGGTGGCAGCAAGAATCGCCGGACTCAGTGCCAACTCCAGTCTACATCACACTTCCCACCATTTCTCGGGACATGCCACAGCTTGTCAGCTTTGCCAGTAAGACAGACTGTGAGGTTTCTTGCAAGTGCCATGTGCACAGGCAGCCCTGCATGATTCTCTGTGGATGCCAGGATTCTTGTTCATATACCCATATGATGAGGGAGGTACAGAAAGATGAGGGCCCAGCTGAGTGAAGGAATGTGAACGGATGTGCTTACATTGTCAAATTAATGCAGTCCCCGGACAAATTCTGGTGTGGTATATTTTATCAAAAGATCAACTTTCTGTATTTTTTCTTGAATTTTACCTCTAAATGTATTTAAAATGCAGAATTAATGCCAAAAATTAATTCAGTGACCTTAAATTAGCTAAACAACATGTGTCCCAATAATTTCTATCACAAACGGTTCAGGAGTTGTGAGTTGGTCAAGTTTTCTAAAATGGCCACCAGCGGCCATCTTGGATTTTGAGATAGAACGTGTGTCTTTGGATAATTTTGTTTCTGGTGACCTAAGGAACGTTTATGCCAAAGGAGACCTTTGTAGCATGATTTGAAGTCAACCCCCTATTTTGTGCACTTAGCATGTCTACTCTAGGCTGCGAAACATACATACATACATACATACATACATACATTCATTCAGATAGGCTGTGAAACAACTGTGTCGGCCTTCATTATTATAAATTTGTTCTGTGTTTTGCAAGTATGAACATCGAAATAACATAACATGTACTTTTGAGAATCAAACAGGTAGATGGTGGGTGGGTGGGTAGGTGGGTGTTTTGGGTCCTAAGGGTACATTCCCAGTGAACCGTACACTGTAATGTGAGTGGCAATTTATCTAACATGGGTAACATTTTTAACGCCTGTATATAAGAATAAAATGACCACGTAGGTGCCCTCAACGGTTACCATGGAATGGCGTGCCGAGTTTATTTCGCTGCACTGCTACACTATAGGCCCCGGGCTCTGCTGGCCTCGTTAAAGTACCGTCATTTCGAAATACTCTCGCTATCGTCTCACTTTTACTTTCGTGGACCATTTTCAGCGATTCTAGGGGAGTATCATCCGTTCTCTTACATTAACTGGTGCGTCTAACTAGCACTTCGACTCATTCCCTTAATACTATATGCCTTGAGTCGTCATGGCTTTATAACAGCCGACCTTTCCTTCTGCGGCAAGTAAATGCCCATGACGCATTCTTAACTACACAGATTAGTACTATTCTACGTATTTACGTACGAATTCGGGCATTGTACGACGCAGTTTAGGAACTCGTAAGCCAGGCGGTGGTGGTGGGGTGGTGTTGTGGTGGTGGTGGTAGTGGGAGTTATAGGTAGGAAAAGTGCTTTAGTATTTCGCTAACACACTCGTGTATTATAAAACATGCGGTTTGAAAACTATAGTTTCCAGTTTAATTACGAAAATTGAAAATAGCTGCCGACACAAGATTGCTTCACTCACCCGTAATACGTATTGCAGTGTCGTTCATCCATTGCGCTTTTGCTTGCCTGGTCGCCAGCGGTAGGCCCCTTATCCAGCCGATATCTCAGGTGCTGTCTCAGCTGCTGTGGTCTGTGACATGCTGTACTAGTGAGTCGTAATTAACCGTAGTCTGCATGTTCCGTGCGTTATCCGGCAAGTGCGCAATTTGCCGAATCTCGCTACAAAAACGTGCATTCCTCTGCCTTCTCCTCCTTGCGTCGTCGTGATCGTATTCTGCTGTTCCTCGCGTCGTCGTGATCGTATTCTGCTGTTCCTTGCGTCGTCGTAATCGCATTCTGCTGTTCCTCGAGTTGTCGATAGCCAGGTCGTACAAGATAAGTTCTGGCTTATATACGCCTTAGCGGCAACGTCAATTCCATACGCACTGGTCGTATGGCAAAAACGCCAACACTTCCTTCCTACGGCACAATAGTCCTATAGTCATAGGTTTTCTGTTTTCTTTCTTCCTCTTCTTCTTCTTCATCGTTAAAGTTGTCTTCACTCAGCGTTTCTTTCGACCTTCGTGCATCGTATAGCTATAGTACCTTTAGTTCGTTGTTTGGCAATGGGATACCCTGGTTCTTTGAGTCACAGCGCCAAATTGTAGTGTTGAATATTTCTCGTACGCAGACAGTAGGACTTAACAGTTGTATAAACGGTGACAATTACAGTTTTATTACAAACACGGATAAAAACAGTGTACACGTACCGGTCACAGGTTGTCGTCGTCTCTCCCGTTTCTACCAAAACCCGTCTTTTTTAAGCCGTACGCATCCCCGTCGCGACCTGTTTAGACTTAAAAACGAATTTATGACGCGGGTAGTGGATATAATGACACGATTGCCGCATAATGTTCGATGGTACCACGTAGGAGCGCCGACCACCGTTGACGTTGCCTGCCTAATGATGGCCGTTTGATAAACCGCGTCGCATTCTTGTTGAAGTTAATGTGTTCGTACCATTCTGAAATGCATTCCGTCTACGCTGAATTATGTGTGCTCTTAGTTGTGTAGCTATTCTAAAATGCATTCTGTCCACGCTGAATTATGTGTGCTCTTAAGTATGTAGCTAAAGTCTTCTGGGTCCATCGCCGGCCGTCCCTGAACATTTGCATGAGTAATGTGCGAAATTTCCCATGTCTCCATCTTAAAGCTAAAACGCCGTACTACACAAGCAAAGCACGTACACGTACTTCACGTGCGCAGGCACCCACGTAGATGCATACACAATATTCATCACACACATCATCACACACACCACAATCATACACACACGCGCGCACGCACGCACACACGCCCACTGTTGATGAGATTTCGTAGCCGTTGCCCGATGGCTGCTAACATATTGATGGGTCGTAGTAACGAGGCAATATTCTGACAGTTGTTCAATTCGAGGAACGTGTATGGGGGAAGAAGGGCACTCACTCATGCCATATGTCAATACGGAGATGTACGCACGCACACACAAGCACGCACGCGCACACACAACATACGCTCACACATACGATCACACTATCACACGCATCCACATTTGC